TATTATTTTATATATTTTATATGTTCAATTTATTATTTTATCATGTTATTTTCAGATTTATTAATAGGCTGCGTTCCGATATTCACTGCTATCTACTAGATAGTACTACAAATCTATACTTTATATTAAATGTGCTATAGATTTTCAGTACCGGCAGTGTATGAGAAAGAGAGAGAGAGCAAAGAAGGAAGAGAGAAGGAACATATGAGCCACGTGCGAGAAACAGGCTAGCGACGAGGTACGCTTCTCGCGGCTGGCAGTATTAGCTATAGCTATAGCTATAAGGAAAGACAGAGANCGGTTATATATATCCGTCTCCGACTACTGCTCGAAGTTGGCCGAAGCGCCGAGCGCACACGGACACGGCTGTTCGCCTGTGTGCGCATCCCCTCCACTTGCTGTTGCATGCTGCAAAAGTCTTGAAACTGGCATCCCTGCGCGCGGGGCTGTTTTACGCGCGTAAGACAGCCCAATGAATGCTTATTTGCTGATTTTTGTTAATTAAGATTTCGGTAATTATTGCGAATCTTGTAAAACGGTATAAGACTGTTTGACTCAATTTTACTCCTTTTACCTGCCATGAGAAATGTTACACCACTTGTCGGACATCCTATATATAAAATATATACAGGGTGTCAACAAAAGATTGCCCAGTAAGTACATAGCGTTATTTCTCATTAAAAACTGAGTCAAAAAGTCCTGAATCATTTTTTTCTATTACGTGTAATAAAAGAGTAATTATTGAGTAAATCAGGTCTATCAGTGCCCACCTTTAGCTGAGCGTACGTCATTAAGCCGCACGTCTAGTAGTATGCGTGAGCGCTCCGCCGCTATGGCGATCGGTGCGGCGACGCTATACCTTCGCGTACGTCGCTAGCATAAAAAGCTAAAAGTCGGCGCTAATTGGCTTGATTTACTCAATAATTACTCTTTTATTACATGTAACAAAAAAATGGTTCAGAACTTTTTGACTCAGTTTTTAATGAGAAATAATGCTATGTACAGTAGGGAGCACGATATCGTGCAGCTCCAGGGGAAGTATTTCTCGGAAATTTCTTCTTTAGCTGCTCCTATTACTGCGCGCTCTTCTTCTTCGATCTCGGATCGTTGGCGGAGACCGAAGAAGAACGGCGCGCGATAGTATAGAACATCCAAAGGAGAAATTCCCGAAAAATATTTCCCCTGGAGCTGCACGATATGGTGCTCCCTACTGTACGTACTGATCGGTCTTTCGTTGACATTCTGTATATATACAAGATGTCTCGTAATTGCCGTACAATCTCTCGTGGGAAGATAGAGTTATATTGAGTCAAAAAGTCCTGTACCACTTTGCAAGATTCGCAATAATTTATCGAGATCTTAATTAATAAAGATCTGCGAATGAGCGTGCATCGGGCTGTCTTACGCCTGTAAAACAGTATAGTGCACTTTGCGCGCTCACGGTGTTACCCGTAGCAAAGTATAGAAAGAGCTAATATAACAGCATATACTATAACGTATACATAATAAAAGATAACCGCGCGAATCGCGCCGGGCTATCTTACGTGCGTAAGACTGTGCATTGTACTGTCTTACACGCGTGAGACAAACCGATGAACGCTTATTCGCATATCTTTATTAATTAAGAAAAGTCTTACACGCGTAAGACAGCCCAATGAATGCTTCGCGGATTTTGGTTACTTAAGATGTCGGTAACTATTGCGAATCTCGTAAAATGCTATAGGACTTTTTGACTCAGTTTTACTCTTTCTACCTGCCTACAAGAAATGTTAAAGTAATTGTCGGACACTCTGTATATGTATACTTTCTTCGAAGGAAACAATCCTCTTAGTGGTTTTGGTGTTCACTTATTTTATTTAATAATGCAGTTACCTATTTTTAATTGATTTATTCATAAAGTAATAATTACTTACTTGATTACTTATTTTTACGCACAAGATAAGCAAAAAATTGGAAAGTTGTTAAAGAAAATTTCTTTTTTCTTTAATTTTATCGTTAATTTGACCATTACATGTAATACAAGTTTAGTCGTAGTTGTAAGGTCGTAGGCACGAAGTAAGAGTAAAGAGAACAAACTCCGTGTTAAAAAGTGACCCCGATTCTGACGCCTAATTGGGAGGGAATCCGCTCAAGGGAATAGTTTCTTATGATGGGTGCCATTTGCAATTTGTAACCTAAGCTAACCCTAACCTGACCTTATTTGTCAACTTATAGAATATGAGTACGAAGTAAGAGTAAGGAGATCGAACTCCGTGATATAAAAGTGGTCCCGATTCTGACGCCTAATTGGGAGGGAATCCGCTCAAGGGAATAGTTTTTTACGGTTAGACGCCATTTGCAAAACTATGCATGTACACAACTAGCACATGTACACGTTTAGTATATGTAAACTATCCTGTTATATATACAATTGCAGCGTAGTTATGCATACATTTATAAAAAGTTTATTTACACCTAGGACGGTGAGTTGTGATTAGTAGAGATATTATGTATATACTCATCATACTCTTTGTGTAATGAAGTTTTCTCAAAGATGCATCTTTTTATTTTAGAAATAATTCTCTACTAATATCTCTACTAATTGCAACTCACAGTTCTAGGTGTAAATAAACTTCTTTTTCTGGAAACCTCTCCTTTGGTTTCACATTCTCGAATCCAAAATGCTATAGCTGCAGACTTTCTCCGAAGTCCCAATTAATTGTCACAATCGGGACTACTTTTGTATATGTCACGAGAAGTTCGATCTCCTTACTCTTACTTCGTGGGTCAAGTTATGTTTCAAATTGCAAATGGCGTCCAACCGTAAAAAAACTATTCCCTTGAACGGATTCCCTCCCAATGAACCGTAAAAGTCGGGACCATTTTTTCCATTCGCGCGCTATCAAGTTCGATCTCCTTACTCTTACTTCGTGCATGTGAGCCACACGAAGTAAGGAGATTGAACTTGATAGCGCGCAAATGGAAAAAGTGGATCTCTAATTAGGAGTCACAATCAGAACCACTTTTGTATCACGGAGTTCGATCTCCTTACTTTTACTTTGTGATAAGCCATATGAGTCGGTGTTTTTTTGTTTACAGATCAGAAATGGCATGCTGGATACGTGGATGCAAGACCAAAGAAGAGAAACACGTTTCCAGAAAAAGAAGTTTTTTACACCTAGAACATTGAGTATGCGATTAGTGAGTATTAGTAGAGGATTATTTTTAAAATAAAAAAATGCATCCCCCTTGAAGAAACTTAATTACACGAAGAGTATGGATAAGTATATATGTATGTATATGTACCCAGATAACCAAGACTGAATGAGCATATTTTGCAAAGTTTGTAATAACACATTATGCCAGTACAATGTAGCCAGCATTCAAACATAATCTGTTATTTCAACTAATGTCGGCAGAAAAACAGAAAAAAAAGAGAATATAAATTTGTCACGCCGTAATGCAAATATTATTGCATCAATCAAGCAGAACTTGCTCAAAAAAATGTAGCAGATTTAAAGCATAACGTGCTATTGTCATTTCATTCTTCACTTATTTTTATATTTTTGCTGTGTTGTTTTCTTTACATATCGTGCCTACATAATTCACTCACTATAGCTGCTTTCCTTTTAGGAGACACAGTCGACACATTCGACACAAAGCGTCACACATCGCTTTCCATTTGTAATTGTGATCGACCTCAATCGACACATTTCGGCTGCTTTCCTTTTAGGAGACACAGTCGACACAAGTCGACACAAAAGTCATTCTGTCTTTGTTTCTCACTGAATACTGAACAAAGAACAGAATGACTCTTGTGTCGACTTGTGTCGACTGTGTCTCCTAAAAGGAAAGCAGCCTTCGACTCTTCTCGAGAGGAGAGTCAGAGTGTGTTCAAGTGTACTTTTGACGCATATATCTGCACCATTGCAGCTTCAAGCATTTCTACATATATGATCAGAGAGAAGCCTGAGAGCGGCCATGCCATTGTAGTTTTTTACGACGGTTTCAATCGCTGGTTTTAGCCGTATTTCCACAAAAGTGGAACTCAAAGGCCGTTCTACATTAAACGCAAGTATCAGATCTCGTGGAATTGACCAATTGCAGAGTCAAATCAGCCAATCGACCAACGTGATTGATCAGTTCCACGAGACCTGCGACTT